TGCTGCGCATGTGGGTCAAGAGTCTTGCGAGCGTTTAGTGCGGATTTAAAACGCCCCGCAACAGATACAAAAAAACTGCGACGCATTATCACAAAAAATTATTTCAGAGCTTCAGAGTAATTCGCTTACTTTCGACGCCTCCGATTCTCCCCGATCGATGCCCAGCAACGGCTCGCATTCTGTGGCATTATACTTCATGATGGTGACGCAGGTTTGGTAGAGGATTTGATTCTGATAAACCGCCCCTAAAAACACACAACAACAAGTTAATTGAATGATGATCTGCCATTGTCTGTCTGTGTATCCATACCAATTAGATATCTGGCAAAGAAGATCAGAAATACTGCGGGCTCCAGGATGAACCAGCGATAGCTGCTGTAGTCCAGCACTGGCGGTGGGAGGGGCACCTCCTCGCCGGTGGAAGCTGTGCTCGGTGTTGTTGTTGCCGCTGCAGCAGCATCCAGAGTGCGTGGCGCCTCATCATCGCTCACCAAGGGTTCCAAATCGTTGCGAGGCATCTTATTCGCAGTCCTTTACTTTGTCGCTATCTTTCGGGTATAGGGATTCAAACTGCGCACACTTTTGTAACTATGGCAGATAAAGAAACTAGCAATTCATTCTGGGCAATGCAGCAGCGTATAGTATTTAATCAGTCACAGACACGAAGGCGAGTTCTGAGCGCAACAGAGCGAAAACAGATACTGAGAGCTTCAGCTGCTGCGAAATGGCAACGTAAGCAGTTTATCGACATGTGCGTAGGCTAGTTACGTTACTTAACACGAGTACACAAGTGCAACACAATTATTAAACACAAGTATACAATTAATTTATTAATTATTAATATAACTTGTGCATTTCTTTCGACTTTCTAAAATTCACAACAGCAACAGCTGTCTCTGTTTACCACCACTTGCTTCTCGGCGCTGCCAACCTGGCCCAAATAAAAATACCGCGAGTTTGGCGGCTTGGTGTTTTTTAGTGGTCAAATTACAATTATTTAAATTAATTTTAATGGCGACGACGCTCGCGCTCGTTTCGCGTATCTCTTTCCCGCTGGTCGTGGCGGGAGCCATTATCTCGCTCCCGTCGATCTCTTTCGCCATATCGGTCTCGCTCACGCATTCTGTCACGGTCCTGGCGCTCCCTGTCCCGATTCTGGGGCTTTCTATCCCGCTCCTGACGTTGATCTCTATCCCGATCCTGGCGTTGCTCTCTATCCCGATCCTGACGTCCTGCTGGCTGGCGCCGGTCCTCGTGCTGAGTGTCGCGGTTGCGGGTGCGATTCCGCTGCCGCTCAAACTCCTCCAGTTCGTCGTAGTAATCCCGAGAACGTGCATTGTTGTTTTGTGCTGGACGTCGGTCCCGTTCCCGCTCCCGGCTGCGGGATTTGGATTTCGAGCGAGCCCTTCGTGGGCGTCGTACAGATGAAGCAGAGTTTTCGTTCGTCCGATTCGCTTCTCGGTCGTCCGGCTTCTCATCCTCACTGGGCAGCTCGTCGTCCAGGTCTTCATCCAGGACCGAAACCTTCGGCTCAATCTCGTTGTTCTCCTCGAGAATGGTGCGCTTCTGTATTCGAGGCAATATAATGTCGCAGACGCGATCATTTCGAAGCAATTCATCTATGTACTCGTCCATGTAGACAATCTCGAACTGTCCGGCCCGATTCTGGCGTCTCAGCTTGCGGTTGTCGATATACAAGGGCTCCAGATACTTGTAACAGTCGAGGGCGACGCCGGTCAGTCGCAGATAGAACGCACCCAATGCACGCACATACTTGAACTCTTCGTTCTTGATGAACTCCACCACAATGTCCTTCTCCGGCTGAATCTGCAACATCTTCAGTGTGAGGCAGAGGAACTGCGTGGGCTTTATGTTTCCTCCATAAACGCCGCCGACGAATCGCAACTCCATAGCCTTGTCCACCAGCAATTCGGCGGTGAGTGCAAAACATTGCTCCTTCCAGTACTTGGAGTCGTAGATGCGGGAACGTATAATCTTCTCAATGAGATACTGCGGATTGGTACCGTGCACATTTTTGGCCTCCTTTACTGTCCGATTTGCCATTTTATTTAACAATTATTATCATTACTTTTTTTTCGGCGTCGGACACAGCTGCACGCCTGCAGATAGTATCGAGAATCGTCACCAATGCGATAGTTAGGAAGCAATACGCTATCGATATGTCGTGGTATCGCGATGACGCATCGCTCATCTAACAAAACAACTCGGCCAGACAGCAAAAAGGAGACGCAAAAGAGTGAAAAACCATACTTTAATCTAGGATTCCAGGGGATTTGGGCGTGAAAAACAGAAAAAACAAACATGAGTTTCTTTGGGAAAATGTTCGGTGGCAAGAAGGAAGTGGCCCCAACGACGGGGGAGGCAATACAGAAGCTGAGGGAAACTGAAAACATGCTCATCAAGAAGCAGGAATTTCTCGAGGCAAAAATCGAGGATGAGCTGAGTATTGCCCGAAAGAATGCATCCAAAAACAAAAGAGGTATGTACTCGTGTGGCTGCCATCCTTGAGCTACGCTGGCGGAGGTTCATTGTGTCCGCATATCAGCACCATAAATATCCGGACATGACTCATATTTGCTTTGTTTTTGTTGTGGCTGGGGCCTTTCCGACCCCTCAGCCACCACCATGCTAGACATGTAATTATGCTTGAGTAGAATTATCTAGTATAATGATTGTATTTCTTCGCCTTTCTCACCCGCATACCATTTGACGCCTGGATGTGTCCGCATATGCTCAGAACGTAATATGAACAACATTCCTTTCGATACTAAACCAGACATTAGCTTTACCCTAGAGTAATTCGATTCAAAATAATCCAAAATTGGCCTTCACATCTTAGCGAATCGTGCCTGCTTTGACCCAGACTCACCTGCATACTTGTCGCCTTTTCAGTGGCCCTGCAAGCCCTCAAAAAGAAGAAGCGTCTGGAGAAACAGCTGCAGCAGATCGATGGCACCCTGTCCACCATTGAGATGCAGCGCGAGGCTTTGGAGAGCGCCAACACGAACACTGCCGTCTTGACCACAATGAAGAATGCTGCGGATGCGCTCAAGAATGCCCACCAGCACATGTGAGTAGTCGACCATCGTCAGATGAGCTCCATAAACTAACTTGAATGATTTCCTCGATGTGCAGGGATGTGGACAAGGTCCATGACATGATGGATGATATTGCCGAGCAACAGGATGTGGCCCGGGAGATTTCCGATGCCATTTCCAACCCAGTTGCCTTTGGTGCTGATCTGGACGACGAGGATCTCGAGCGGGAACTCGATGAGCTGGAACAGGAGAACTTTGATAAGGAAATCATTGGCATTCCCGAGCCAGCGCCCACATTGCCCGAGGCGCCCACAGAGGACTTGCCCGAGAAGGCCAAGGAGAAGAAGAAGGCCACAACTACTACGACTACAACCACGGCTGAAGCAGCCGATGATGGTATTGTCCCTGTCTTATGTGTTCCTTAATTTCATTCAATTGTAACACGTTTTATTTCCTTGCAGATGATCCAGTCATGAAGCAGCTTTTGTCCTGGGCCAACTAAATCGAGCGCTATAGAAATCTCTTCACTGTTCACTGCAGGTTAACCAAAATCCCCCACGTTTCTGTTTTGATTAAATATTAAGTGAAATTTTTAGTTTGAAGCGAGGAAGGCATTAATTCCTTTGGCAATCTTTCAATCAAATGGTACATATAAAAGGAATGTGATTTAACAAATAATAAACGAAAAGAGCAAAGTCAGGCCACCCCACACACACACATCAACAAAAGTAAACAACAAAACTGAAGGATAATTATGTATTTTGATATTTTTGAAACACTTTTGCACGAAAGCCTTGCGCTGATATCGTTTAATTTGCTGCTCCAAACAGAATCAAGTCAGGCAGCTGCAGCTGTTTCAATGCAAGTCCACGATTGAGGCAAACAAAGCTTACAAGTTGTATTTTTGCACTCATTTCCCGCAGGTTTTAGTATTTGAATTGAAATTTATACATAAATAAATAGTAAACAATCCACTTGGTGTCTCGGTTGCCCTCTTTTCAATACCAGCGAGTGGCTCGGCTCGTTGTAAACAAACAAAGACGAATCATTAAGATCCACTATCTGCAGTGGGTCGCCCTCGAGTGATAAAATGTAAATGCTCGAGGCGGTAGCAGACCCGAATCGGGGCGCATTGATTGGAACACGGCTGCTGATGCGACATGCATATCAATTAATTACACCGCCATGGCGGTGGCGGCTGTTACATTTGGCTGGGCAGCGACAGCGGACACTGCGCCATGTGGGATTGGGTAATGGATTACAAAAAAATACAAGAGCTGGCGACTGATTGCAAATCGCTGGACACTCTCTGTGGCTCGGCCTGGGCGCATGCAGTTGGCCGAATTTATTCAAATCAGTTTAGTTCCGTTTGAGGAAGAGTCGAGGTGTCTGGTGTCTCTGGGAGTGGATCAATCGTATCAATTGCAATGTGCAAATACGTCTTAATTGCTGCACTGGCCGTGGTAATGGTAAGTGCTTAATTATCCACTAATCACCGAATTAACATTGCCCTTGAATCCCGCAGTGCCTGCAACTGCCCGACGCCCGCGCCACGCTGCACGACTTCAACGAGGTATTTGACTTCTCCAATGTGGATCTGGCAAACTTTCAGTACTTCAAGAACCTGGCCTCCCAGGATCCGCGCACGGCTGCCACCGCCAGTCCCCTGCTCGAGCACTTTCAGAAGAAGAAGGCCGTATTGGACTATCTAGACCGCCTATTCTTCGGCAACTCACCCTTCCAACAGGCCAGCGAGATCCCCTTCGACCCACACTTTGGTCGCGCTTGGCGGCCACACTACGAGCGCAAGTTTGGCTTCCGCGGCGAACGACTAATAGCCGCCCTGGGCTCTGGCTACTCCGTCCGGCAGCTGCGACACTTTGGAGCCATTCCCCAGGAGTTCGGCACGCCTCACTATCCCAGTTGAGAGAAGGACATTCGTGCAGTGGAAAAGTATGGAGTTTCGGTTGTATTTATGAAATAAACTTAAGTTCTATGGCTAGACTCTCCGTTTCTGTGTGGATATGTAGAGGACGTTGTTGCCGCGGATGAATGCGTCGCCGTATTTGTTCTTTAGCTGACCATTCACGTACTCCTCCGTCTGCTCAAGGCAAATGTTCATATAGCCATCCAAGCACGCCAGCACACCTGGGGGGAGGAGAGAGAGAGAGTGATTGTGAACGTGTTTTCAGCCGGCATTTTATTAAAGGAGACTCACCGCGATAGTCCACGCCGTTGTTCAGTTTCACGGCCACGGGGCGACCATGGATTTGGTTGATAAACTGCGAGAGGGCTTCTTTGCGAGACATATTGTTTATTTTATTTATTAAATTGGGTGGTCGCTAGTGTGACCGTAGATTTATCGATAAATTGATCGTCTCTGCAGAGTTGCACCAAAACCGATGCATATTTTTCGGACACTTGGTTTTGAATTATTTAAATTTAAACAGCGCGCGAATAAATATAAATAATTAATGCTTCAATTAAGTTAGATAATCAGATAAACAGTTACCTGTTTTTATCTGCTCATCTATGTGAGCAAATTGCACAGCGCTGAGCGGCACTAGTCATCGATAAAATTTCAAAATTCAAACATTTCCGCTTACAAAATACTCCAAATTATAGTTTCAAAATGATGGCCAGTTTGCGGATGCGGCAGCTGTTGACAAATTGCGATGGCGTTGGTAACAATTTGGTACGCACCGCTTCCTCATTCAACTGCGTGATGAAGCCGGTGGAAGGTTTCAAGCCCAAGCCATCGCTTAAGATAACCGTGGTTGGTGCGGGCCAGGTCGGAACTGCAGTCTCGGCGTTTCTTTTGGCTCGCAACCTGACCAAGAATCTGGTTATCCATGATGTGAAATACGATTTGGCTACCGCGGAGGCGTTGGATTTCTCTCATGCGTCAGCCTTCCTGGGCAATCCGATTGTCCGAGGCTGTGGTGATGGAAATCGTACCAAGAACTCGGATATTATCATTATCACAGCGGGTGCGAGGCCTTCGGGCAAGACTCGATCTCGCCTGGACGTAATGCATAAAACGGTGGATATTCTCAAGTCTGTGGTGCCCAAGCTGGTCAAATTGAGTCCCAAGGCTGTATTCATAGTCATCTGCAATCCTGCCGATGTGATGACCTTTGCCGTGCAACGCATCGGAAAGCTGGAGAAACATCGCTGCTTCACCACTGGCTGCCACCTGGACACTGCCCGCTTTCGTTATCTAATTGCCAAGCGCCTCAAGGTCCCCACAACGGATGTCAATGGTTATGTGATAGGAGAGCATGGCAGTAGCGCCGTTCCCGTTTGGTCCAGTGTCACGGTGGGTGGGATACGACTGAGAGATGTCTTGAAGGATTTGGGCACAAACAAGGACCCCGAGAAATGGTCCGACCTCTTCGATGGCATCCTAAATGCAGGCGTACACGTTAGCAAGGCCAAGGGCTACACAAACTGGGCCGTGGGGCTGACTACCTCAGATGTTGTGGCCTGCATGCTGCAGAATACCGGCAGAGTGTGCTGCCTGGGGACAGATGTGAAGGGTGTCCACTGTGTAAAGGACAGTGTCGTACTGTCTGTGCCATGTCGTGTCACGGCCAGCGGAATTAGCCACATTCTGGAGCTGCCACTGACCAAAGATGAGCACAAAAAGTTGTTGAAATCGGCTGATACATTGCTTGAGGCCCAGTGCTCTTTAAAATTGTGATCTCGCTTCCCCCGGCACTCCATGAAACACAAATAGAACAGAGAGTAGAAAAAGAAAACAAAACAGAAAACATTTCACAGTGTGGGAGGAAGAGAGGGACAGCAAATCACTTGCCGTTGGCAGCCCTTTTCACTTTCCAGCGACGTCACAGCGATACGAATGCGAGAGCAAGCGAGACGACCATATGGTATTACAACTGTAAAAGTGCAGCAACAATCACTTGACCATACCGCACGCCCGCGCCTACTCTTCCACGTTGCTGCTGCCCTGTGCCTAGACAACTGAAATTTTTGTAATTTCCATCAAAATTATGATTAATTTCTTGTGCCAAAGTGTCAACATGTTATGAGAGCGGGTGGGGTATCCGGAATGCAAGGTCTCTTGGGGAAGGTCTCCAACGAAATCGAAAGTCAAAGGTCTTGAAAACGATTAGGCAAGCAGAGAAAATGGCAGGAAGACAGACAATGAGCCACACAAAAGAAACAAATCTCAAGACGTTTTGGGGGCGGCACCCTCAATGCAGAGGCGCCCTGGCACTTTGAGAGTACGATCGATTTGGAGCCAAGGTCTTGATTTGTAGCAGGCGCACAAAAACCACAGCAACGATCTCGTTTCGCTTCCAGCATTTCCCATTCCCATTGCCATTAACCGTTTGCTAGTTCGCCCACGCGTTGCACGCACTCGCATGCGGCGAAGCGAGACAATGACCCAGGGCCCGGGAGCTGCAGCATCCCAGCCCAGCGTTCCCAGCGACCCCAGAGTGTAACCAAGTGTAACAGGCGACTGGGCGAACAGGCGCTGACACTAGCCGACAGAGCCGAGATTTTTAACGCCTCGTTGCATGGTCTGGGAAAATTGTCTTTGCTCTCGTTTTTGGGTCTATTGTTAATTTAAGTGAAAGAAAAGAGACCAGCCGACACCCTCCCAATGCTCTTTCTGGGAAAGTCAATCAGATTTGTTTAAAAGTGTGGAAAATGTTGAGTAACAATTTTTTGTTTGTTTAACTAATTGAAATTCACTAGGCGCACAGTGCGTGCGGGCAGTAAACGCACAAATCACAACGCATGTTCCCACTTTCCTACCTGCTAGATCATTTTGGGATTTTCTTTCAGATTTACAGCCATGATTTCGTGGCTCTTCTATTTCTGGCACCCTATTGAAATGCTACAGTTTTTCCCCCAAAATCACCACCGAGAAGCGCAGAGAGAGCGAGAGAGGACCCCCATGGGGCATGGCTAATTTAATAATTTAATATTTTTCCCGTTTGTTTTGGTTTTTGAGCTCCAGCCAGGGCCACAGAAGTTCCAGCAGGTAGTAAGCAGTCTATGAGTGGATCGGGTGCTACCTACCTGCTGCCTAGATTTGGTTACACTTGGCTGGTGGCATTCTGACACTGCTGTTGACCTGTTGAAGTGCTACACATTTGCATTGCATTTGCGGAGAACGCGTCAACCCTTTCGGGAATATGTGGGATGCTAAACCGATGCCGTACTTTTGCGAGTGAGTGTAGAGGCTTCTTCGGTTTCTGTTTGCCTGTTGAACTGCTACACATTTGCATCACTCAACTCTTTGGCGCGTATGAGTACGTATGCCTACATCCGCGGGAGTTTCATTATTGCGTGATCTTCATCAGGGCTGGTGGCTCTTTTCATCTGTTCAGCTACTCCCACATGGGCTACACATGGAATGATCATTGGCGTGCATTGTCGAAGTGCATCCGAGTGTAACCTTTGAACAGGCGAACAGCAGAGTCCAGCCGCAACTTGGATGCACCCGAATGCAGCCTGAAGATTTTTCCCACTGCAGCTGCAGGTACTTTTGCACCACAGGCAGTCTCTTGGGCTTGGGTTATATTTAACAAATGGTTTTCGGATTTATATTTATATGCACCATGAGTGTGGTGTGTCTGTGGTGTCTGTGTGTTTCGGGCTCGTTTCTATGACTGCTTGAATGCATTTTTGTGTGGGATGCTGGATGCAGCTCTCTCTTTGCTGTTTGCCTGTTCCGTTTGGCCATGCTCCAGTGATCTTCTCGAAGTAATCGAAAGGAATTAGAGGGGTCACCTGGTCAAGGGTCAATGGTTTTGTAATGTCCCTGCTGTTAATTGTGTCTGCCTGTTCGGTTTGGCCACGCTCCAGTGATCTTCTTAGGGAATTACACAGATGCTCACAACTTCAATGCATTTTCATATGGGATGCTGAATGCACTTTTCCCGCTGCTTGTTTGAACCCTATTCCAAATTGTGTGAGCCTGTTCGGCATGCGCACGCTCCAGTGATCTCAGATCTTTCCAATGATGCATTTTCTTTTGAATGCTGGATGATGCTTTCAGGCTGGACCCCTACTGCGTTCATATTTAACGACTCCCGCAAGGGAATTCCATGAGTGCATGTTTTGGGTGCTGTTCTATGATTGGTTGGCTGATTGTTTTTCCATGTGGAAAGCTGGATGCAGTTTTCCTCCTACTACTAGTGATGACAGCCTGTTCGAATTAGCCTGTTCCACGCTCCAGTGAACTTGCAAGTGGATTAGATCACAGCCTCAATGCATTTGAATTTGGGATGCTGTATGCAGTTTTGGTAATGCTGGTAACCTTATTCTAAATTTTGTCAGCCTGTTCGACTTGGTCACGCTCCAGTGATCTTCTGAATTAACAATCCCTGGGGATGAATTTAATTTTGACTGAGATTAGGTTGTGGTTTCTGATTCTATGCTAACCTGTTCGTTTGATCTCTTGGGTCATGCTTCACTGATTTCGCCCTGTAACGATGACCACTGTTTTCCCGAAATATCTTGGATCTGGCATTGATGTTGCCCTGTTTTCTTAATCCGTTTCGGGCACGACTCACTGATTTTCCACAATGTATTCCTAGGGATTAGCAGGTAGCTCTTCCACATTTAGAGGGCTTTGCCTATTACCAATCGACCTACTGCCAAACGTTGTTCCCCTGTTCGAATGCGACAGTTTCGTGACCTTTAACTCTTTTCTTAATTCTCTGGCACCATTTGATGTCACTGTTGCATCACCAAACCAAAAACAAGTCGTTGAAAGAGTTAACATGCCTTAAACTGTAGCATTCGAATAGGGGAACAACGTTTGGAATAGGTCGATTGGAAATAGGTAATATCCTGGACGTGACCTGATCTCAGGTGAGGCTGCTGGCGATCTTCAGCAACAGTTTTTCTACTGCCTTTTTCTTCCTGTTTACCTGTTGGTTTGTGTGTGATTGGTCACGCTTCATTGATTTTCATTTAGGCTTCCATCTCTAATGCTCTTTGACCTCTTGGGCAGCAGATATCTCCCCCGCTGAGCCTGATCTTCAGCCTGAAATTATTGTTTGCCTGTTCCTTCGATACACATGAATGCGCTTCAGTGATTTCCTTGCCACAAGTTATGTTGCCGCCTACCTGGCTGAGCATCGATCGTTTGTTTCACTTCTCTTTTGACTCCTCGTTGCGGATGCTGAGAACCTGTTCGAAAATTATGCACCGATGCGCATCAGTGGCAATCATGAAGAGAGCAGATAATTGGATGCTCGCTCGATAATGATGCTGCGGCTTGCTGCATGACTTTAATGGATGGATGCTGGATGCGAGTTCTTTGAGTTGGAACTGAAGTTGCGATCGCCTTGTGCCCAGAGCTGTTCACCTGTTCGTTTGCTACACTTTATGCATGATTCAGTGATTTTCTAATTATGATTTATGATCTTTTGGATTAGGCAAACCATTGTTTGGTCTAGCAAATGGATTGCTTTCCACGCCGCTCTTCTCCTCCTACTGCTTTCTATGTTTCCCTATTCGAATGCTTTAGTTGTGTGACCTTTAACTCTTTCGCTCTTCAGGTGTGCGTAGAAGGTGTCCAGGGGTGACCGCAAATCCCCTGAGGACAAAAGCGCCAAAGGCTTAAATCCGTATCATTCGAATAGGGGAACAGAATCTTCTAGCCTGCCTTCGTCTTATAACTCGCCAACCGAACCACCACAGGTAGTATCTGTTTCCCAGTCAGGTAGGTGAGAGTTTGTGCCTGGGATTCGGCCCGTATTCCTTTATGCCGTACACAATCTCAGCTGAGCTGCTGCTTGTGCTGATCTCCTAATCGAGTGGTTTGGCTTGATTGCACTTTAAACCGCAGGCGGTGCCCCAGGGGATTTGTGTGTTCCTGGAAGTCGGGCTGGCGAACAAAAGCCACTCGACAGGCGGACCCAGGCAGCGTTTGATGGATGAGTTGTTTTGTTTGTTTTGCTAATTGATTTTGAACAGGGCAGCAGAAGGAACACGAAGGGAGATCCTTGCCAGCCAGAAGTTGGTCTGGGCCTGCTTGGTCCTGTTCTCCTGTTCGTTTGCTTTACTTTTGAAACTCTTTTTGTGTTGGCAAACCGGCAATTTGCATAACAATTTGTAACAATTTCCTGTTCATTTTAATACGGCGTGAAATTGGAATGGGGCCTCAGAGGCCACAAGAAGCGGCCGCCTGCCTCTATCGGCCTCGCTTGAATGCTTCTTGGGCTCAATCACAATTGTAATTCGATGCGTGTCTGAGTCCATTATGAGGGTCTTGGGCTGGGTCTTGGGCTGGGTCTTGGGCTGCGTCTGGATCTGGACTGTGTCTTCGGTGGTGGTTTCTCAGCCTGTCCCTCGGTCCTCGATCCTCGGCCAGTCTTTGCTGCGCTCCTATTCAAAAACATGAAATTATCGTGACAAACATCAGGGTTCATTAAGTTGTTACCCCCCACATACACATGATCGTGTTTCCCTTGTCATCTTCCACCTTTGGGGCACAGCTCGCGGTCGATACATGCAACAGGCTGTCAGAGAGTGTCGGTCGGTGGGCGTGTCTCCCTCGGGCACATTGTAATTTGAGACCCCATCATTTTCCACTTGATAATCTTTGCTGATGATCGCTAATTGGCTGTCAAAGTGACAGGGTCCCAGGCAGCCGCAGCAAGTAAACGCGAGTCGCAAAACTACAGGCAGTATTTCTGAACGGTTCTTGGGGTTGCTTGTGTGTGGCACGTGCCACACTTTCTTTACGTAATTTGATGCTTGTAAATGTCTTGAGGCTGAACAGGCCAGCATGGCTCGAAGTAGGTTGAAAAGATGTTTTCGTTTTTTTTTGGAAATGAAGTTTCTTTGGTTCACTTCTGGTTGAAGTCAAATTTAAATCAGCGTGAAAAGGGAAAGGAAAGGGTTATGTGGTTGCTGGTTTTTGTGGTTTTGACATCAGGAGGCTCTTCATGCCAATAAGATGTTGCTCTTTGAGCTATTTTATAGGACTTACTTGGGAACATTTAAAGTTTCCTTCAAAATACTAAGTTTCTTGGGAGTATCTCTGCACTTTGTACCTCTTAAAATATGCATCGACAGACATCCTTCATTCTAGTTCTGCTTTCCTGTTGATCGTCTTTGGGTCAACATGAAAATTTCTCACGATCAGTTCCACATGCATTTTGCGTCTGAATTTGTTCTTGTAACGGCTTTGGGCCAAGAATTTCCCACACGCCGTTGACACAAGCAAAGCGAACGAACCACGAAACCCTGCGCAGCAAATAAAACCCTCAGACACACATGCACACACACAGTCGACATCCGTTTAACGTAACGATCGGGAGCCAGCCGAGGATCTCGTTAAGAGCAACAACAAAACCAACGGCAGGCAAAGCATGAAAGCAAGAAAGAGCAAGAGAAGGAGAAGGAGGAGGAGGAGGAGAGAGATGGTGAGAGAGAAAAAACACTCGAGCTAAGCTGAAGAACTGGAATCCGCTCGCTGCCGTTGCTGTTCGCCTGTTCCCTTTTCCAGTCTTCGGCTGGAAAGTTCTCACGCGAGCACATGCCAAAACGGGAGAGGGACGGCAGACAATTAACAACTAATTTAAGCCTGTGCATATCATTTGAGTGCGAGCAAGGGAGAGGCCACATAAGAGCTAGGGTGGGGAGATCCCTTATCTGCAGGAGCTGTGGGAAACAAATACGTTACATTCTTGGCCAGCATTTATTCCCACGCGATCCTCGCTCTCGCTCTCGCTCTCACTCTCACGCGCAACTTTCGGTTTTTTTTTCGGTTCGTTCGTTTTGTCTCTGCTTTTTTATGTTTTCTTGTAGCTCTCCGTTTCACACGCTCTGTGCGTAAACCCAAAGGAGGCGGGGTGCGGTGCGGTGCGGATGCTGTATGTCTCTTCTGTTCGCCTGCTGAAAGATCAACAGAATTTGATTGAAATTCTCACGCTTGAGGGAAGGAATGTTACCTGCTCTGGAAGGATTCCCCAGCCGGGACAGGGAACACGCCCACCACAAACACTTATGCTGAGAGATGTGTATCTTTGGCTCGGTGATCTGGAAGGGATCAACGCAAGATCTTGCCTTTGGTTTTCTGTAAGCCGCTTCAAAGCACTGACACTTTCTACCCTCTTGGGCACACGACACCGACCCGAAGATATTGCCAGACGAATCACTGCCACGGCTCGCTGTTCGCCTAATATTAACCAAGACATTGCACGACTTGGAGCATTCTTCAGGTTCCATCTGAGAAACATCCCTCAAGGTAAGGATATCTTGGCACTTTCTAGGACTGCTGTTGTCCTGGTAACGCTCAAGACATTTTTTATTCGGATAACTAACAGCCTCAGGGTTGAAAACGTCTCATTGCCTCTGTGCCTGTAACTCAATAGTTTGGTGGTAGTTTTTTGGTTTCTCTTAGCAATTTCTTACCTTGACTTTCCTTCACAGGTATAAAGAAAGGTGTGGAAGGAAGCCTTGGCTTGAGCGTTTGCTTTCTGGCAAAACTGTTTGCCTGTTAGCAATCTTTATCGATTGGCTGCTTGTTTAATCAAATTTGCATATCAGAGTCCTTAGGAGCATCCTGAAATATATCGTACGCTTTCTCGCCTGCTCTGCTTGCCTGATACCCAAAACTAATTTTGTATTCCACCATTTGCCAACGTTCTCACGGCATCTTTCAACACCAGAGCATCGTAAGAGTAAAAAAAATGCTTCGAAGAACCCATAAAAAGATCAAAGATGCTCCTAAGGTTTCATATATCACATGGCTTTATCCTGAAAAAAAAAAAAATGAATGCAAGGAATCATTGCCTTGAAGTTGCTGTTGCCCCAGTAGAAACTGCCCAATTAAGACGAAACGTTCTCACGCCTCGCCGGAAATCTCAGCATGTGGTCTTGCCGTTCCACGAAAAAAAAACACATAAAAAATGACCCAAAAAACCATCGATCCCCCGCAGGTTGCCCAGAGAGCCATATTTATTTGTCAAAAAAAGGAACGGAAGCTGCACCGGAAATTGGAAGTGTACGATTAGAAATCAATTTCCTGTCTGAGGAAATACTATTTCGAGTGGCAACAAAATCAATTTCCGGTTAGGGATCACCGTTTCCGGGATAAGATCATCGTAAGATCATCGTAATAAACAGGATTTCTGTCAAGAATCTTTCACAATATTTCTGTTTGCCTATTAGCTAATTATCGAATTCTGCAACCACTTGAGACAGTTTCCCACATGGCCTTGGCCTAGTCCCATGATCATTTTCCCATGACATTTGAAAATCAATAGAAAAGGTGTGCCAGGTAGAATTTTCTTTGGGTGCTGCAGTGATTTCCATGCAGTATTTTCTGTTTCCCTGGTGCCATTTTCACTTATCCTTAAAAGAGTTGTCTCATTTTTCACACGCTGAGATCTTCAAACTACTCAAATAAGAAGAATTTCCCACGTATCTTCTGTGACGATCGGTTTCCCATGAAAATTGGGAACCGTAAAGATCACGGGCTATGCGAACATTTTCCCAGGCCATCAACAGGTAGAAAATATTGGAAAAACTCATCGTGTAGCCTATAAAAATCTCTGTTCGCCTGTTCCTTGAATTTTCCAAAACCACAAAGTGCCGGAAAATTTCACACGACACGAGGATCGTGTCGATAGAATCAATAGGCAGATGGGAAATTTTTCCCACGGCGACTCCGTTGGATCGTTTTTCAGATAATACTTATGTTTCACTTAACTAAAGGGAGGATCTCTTGTCCCGTGCTCCTTTCGGGCCCTTGCAGCAGGTAGAATTCCATTGGAGAATCTTTCCCCGAGCGGCACATCCTTCTTAATTTTTTTTAAATAACAGATTTACGAAGAAAACATTTCATTATGAAAACGGGAGGAGGTTCCCCATGTTAAGCCACAGACTGTCGGAAAATCGTTGGCTCTTTTTCTGCTCGATGGGAACCTTTTTAGGAAAATGCATGCAGGGTGCTACTGTTTTTGCTGTTGCCCTGGCAGGAATAGTTTTCCATGGCCACTACTGGGCTGGAAAATTCGCACGATCAGGACCATTTTACGGAGGATCAACAGGCAGGAAACAATTTTCCCACAGCTGCTTCCCATTCTACACATATTTTTTAAGGGGTCGTTTTTTAAACAGAATTCTTAAAAAAGAGGAGGATCCTTTTCCCATGCAACAGGTTGACTTTGCCAGCTGCATTTTCTCATGGCCCGACAGCAGGTAGTACAATTGGTGGAAAATCGTTTGAGACAGCTCCTGATTTTTCTGCTGGCCTGGTAGAAAAAGTATCCCTCTCTGCGATTGAGCTGTAGAATTCACACGATCCTTGGGCACAGGATAACTTTCCCACGCAGCTGCTCCTGCTGCAACTCCCAAATCTTTTACGCTTGTTCAAGGCACAATGCAGCCATGGGAAAAAGGGAGGAGATCTCTTTTCAAAAGCAACAGGTTGCCGGAAAATGTTAATCGCTGTATCGTGTGCTCGGTTCCAGCTGCCGCTTCCCAGGCCAGCCTCTGGCTCCAGGTAAAATTCCTTTCTTTTCGGGAAAACTCGATGGCATGTGCTGCTGTTTATGTTGTTGGCCTGGTAGAATAGTTTCCCATTTTCACACACGCTCTGGAATTTTCACACGCCCAGGAATGGGCTACCTACGAGCAACTGCTCGGCAGATGAAGATTTTTCCCACACCTGCGCCGGCTGCATAAGGTTATTCTTTATCCACATTTTTTTTAAGAATCCCAAAGAATCAATTGTATGGCTTACATTTGTAGGTGGCAGATGCCTAAAACAGGTAGAATTCTCTACAATTCTTCTTGGGTTTAGCCACTAAAACCGCTGAGCACCTGTTCAGCGGTTCTTCCGGGCTCGAAAACACGTTCCAAAGAAGCTTGAGGACCAGTGAGTACTTTAAACCAGTTTCTATTCTTCGGGATCGCTGTCCTTATTATACAATTCCTCCGGTTCATCTAGGATCTTCTCCATCGTTCATTTATGATCTCCTGTTCGGTTGTTAAACAACATTGACAAACATTTGACAATTTTCACACGATAAAAAAGAGCTTCTAAAGAACCTTCTCATCTCATCTCTCCCATGTGGCAGCCTTAATTTTCCCACAAAGAAAGGATCGTTTTCCCAAGCATCTGCCCATGGAACGACATGTGTTGACTACCTGCTCGTGCTAGTTTTCCACGGTTTTTCCGACATCACCTACTGTATTCTCTGCGGGCCTGTCAACAATATTGGCGTGCAGCCACAACAGTTGGAACATTTCACACGGTCAGCCCGTGTCAAGCCCGGCATCAACCCAAGAGCCGCCGCATTTTCCCATCCACACAAAGGATCGGCTTACAGTGCGTCGAGTCGTAGTCTGTGCCGATCTTTGATCTGTGCTCAGGCATTTATCCAGAGATAAAGAAGTGAATGAATAGAACACAGACACAAAGATTCGCTGTGATACCAAATTCTGGGAATGGAATGAATGATCTTAGAGGATGGTATGGGATGGATGCGGTGCCTTTGGAGTTGCATCACATTCCAGGGCAATGTTCTAAAATATTAAGATGCTGAGCTCCTCATAGATCGTTTGGCTTGGGGCGACAAAAAGGGTTATGGAAACTGCATAAACTGCATTTCATCATTCGTACAAGAGGAATCTTGTTCTGGAGGTTTCCGTATTTTTGAATACATATATTCCCCATTCCCAGATGTTGCTAGAACAGTTCTCAATATTTGAACAGCTGTCGCGGCTTTATACGAGTATAATAAGTACACAAATAACCAAATGAATGCTCAACATATTCAACTATTTACTTTGGCAGAACCGTGCTGAAAGGCAGACAAGAATCTCTTCCTAATCTATTAAATACAACTCCCATGCCTTGGGTGCTAGAATACTCGTTCCTCCAGACATCGTGCAAGACTCTACTTGAATCGGAACTCCCTGCAACCAGCTTGGGCGCTCAGACCGCGGAAGGGATTTCTGATGGTCTCATTGCGGAAGTCAGCCTCCGTTAGATTTATGGTGGAAACATTTGGGCAACCAGACGAGCAGGACACGGATCCGCACACGAGTTGATTGTCAATGCAGTTGTCGATGAGCCGCAGGGCGTTTTCGATGGCAGCGCTGGTGGAATACACTTGCCCAAAGGAGCATGTCCAGGCTGATCTGAGGCGCGAGTCCACGGTGCAGTCGGCATCCTTGACGTGGGTGTTGAAACTGTTTTGGCTGCTAATCGAGTAGGCATTGGCGTCGGCAATCTGTAAATGGAGATGGCCAGCATCTGCGTACAGATTGTTGAGGGCTAAAATCGGGGGAGAACACTCACCACTTTGGTCACACAGACAGTGTAGTTTAGTTGGGCACTGGGGAACTTCTTCACACAGTCCGCCAAGGAGTTCTTCAGGTTGGTGTTGTAGTATTTTTTCAGTGTGTTGTACACACTGTCGGCGCTGTTCAGAGCGGTACTAATGGTCGCCTGGCAACTGGCCACTCTTGACCGGACAGTGGCTATCGTTGGTATGCTGGAGCTGTAGTTCTGGACGCACTGCTTGTGCCAGGGGTCGATCAGCGAGAGGGGATTGATGCGAACGAAAGCCTCCTCCAGCTTCTGCTGCAGCAGATCGGCCTGCACATCGATGACCTGCTGCCGTTTGCTGAACAGCGTCCGAAAGTTGGCCAACGCCTCCTCATACTTCCTGATTTGTGCCTCGTACTGCCGCTGATTCTGATCTATATAATCATCCAGGGAATTGGCGACAGTCGACGACTGCGCACCGGCAAGACCCACAATTACCAGGCTGATGGCGGTGGCTATAAGAAAGCTCTGCATCTTGACTGCGAACTGACTGTGGATCGAACGAATTCTGAGCTACAGCTTATATAGACGCTCGCCAGCTCTCGCGTTCTTATCGGGAGGGGGCCGTGCTTCCCCTGTGACAAAAGCCGTAATCAGCTACGACCTCTATAAACTCTCCATGCTGTAGATTTTTTTTCAACACAACCAAATCTTCCTCTTTATATCGTCAGTGGGGGAATTGCTCCAGCTGGCAAAGTGTTTGCACAAGGCTCACAATTGGATTCACTGTTCGCGGAATCCACTTGAGCTCTGGATTTGCTAAAGAGTGAAAGTTAATTTATTTCCTAAACAAGAAGCTTTTAACGAGGCGACACGTGGAGTGAAGTAGGTACTGCAATTAACTAATAAACAATTTGAGAGTAAATAGAGCTGAGAGTGAGATTAGCTTTCACGCGAAATTGCTTTAGTTGAGGGATTTTCTTGAGGTGTTTTCATGCCAAAGATCAAACAGATTGCGAGAATCATTTTGATTTCCCCCCAGAAGGAGACATTGAAATAAATATTATAATTATGGGGCAAAAACACGATCACAATATATCGCCATAAAAGGCCGCGGAATATCTGGAGGGGGAGACCCGCCTACACCCACGTAGCCTCAGGCCACACCGAAGGTGATTGCACAACGGAACTTTCTAGCAATGAATTGTGTTTTGTGTTGCTTTGTTTATTAGGTGTACGAATAAATATCTATAAAAATAAAAATACAACGAACGAACGCTTAGGTTAGGGTACAATGCAAAACCGAACTAAACAAATTGGGGAATACGTATACTGATTGCAGAGTTAGTTTGATTGCTCACGAAATGTAGTAGAAGATCGGGATAGGGATAGGGATAGGATATATCTCTGTCAGTGCTGAACCAGCTTGAAGCGACTCGCCTCGGCATAGTCCCGGGCATCGGAGAAGTTTCTCTCTGGCTTAATGCGCACATCGTTGGGATCGGTGACAAACTCGCCGCTCCATGTCGGTGGCAGCACGGTCGGATCCGAGTTGTAATCGTAATAGTCCTGATCGTCCGACCGATTGCGTTCGGGCTTGATGCGCGATTCGCCGCTTTTCACGAAGGTGCCATCCCAGGCGGTGGGCAGCACAGTGGGCTCCGAGCTGCAGCCGTAGAAGTTGTTGGTGTTGGTCACATTCTGATTGTGGCGCCGGACCTTGGACACATTGTTCACGGCTCCATCCTGATAGACGAACTTGCCGTCCCAGCCCTCGCACTTGATGGGTATATAGTCCTCTTTCTTGCGTAGCGACATCTCTGGATTATCTGGAGGCTTTGTTCTTTCCTGTTCGATGTGTTCACTGCGCGTTCCAATACACGATTGAGCCAACTCAGTGCTGGTCGTATTCTAAAATATGATTTCACCTTGTTTGAGCGAAAAACTCGTCATGTAAATGATTGTTTTCTGCCAACTGATCAGCTCAGCTCAGCTCAGCTCAGACCCGAACCGACCCCCACATTGTGCAGCTCGTGTTTGTAGCTTGGCTTATTTGAATCGCTGACGTCAGGGGCATGTCGCCGGGTGAGCGACTGTTTCTTCCGTCTGTTTTTCGAACGGGTTTGCAGCGTCAGTCTCCAGGTCGCCTCCTCCACAAGTTCGCACTCCGTTGGCAATCTGGTGGCAGACAATGGCGCGTCGCTTGGCGCTTTGCCATATAAAGTCATCTTGTCTAACAGCTCAATGGCAGCCGACCCTCGCCGGAAAGTTATTGCGACCAAGCTGTCATAGACGTCTTACAAAAAGAAATATTTATATAAACATATGTACATATTGTATTTTGATTGTCGCTAGATTAACGTGATTCATTCGACATGTTCGGGAACTCAATTAGAATGTTTCCCCATTGCCGCATTCGGTTTGTTGTGCTGTTATTTTTGGAAGCTCTCCAATCTATTTCTGTAAATCAGTTCAATATGGAAATACTCATAAGAATAATTATTGTGAAAGCAGAAGGAATTTTCTATTTCATTTGTTATCTATGGGCGTTGGGAGAACCTTCTAAGGCGATTTATTGTTTGTGTATGGTCTGGGTTTAACTTTTTCCCAACCTTACCACACGTAAGCCTACCTTGCTTACCTTACAAAAATCTCAGAGAACGAAACCTCCACCTCCACAGCCCTGACCATACTCAATCGCAGACGGCAACGTGCTACTGGGCACTGTTTGCCCCATTCATCATTTCTGGTTCGTGTCCATGCGAATTGCTCGACTCATCCGCTGCACTAATTAAGCCCCAGCTCCCCCGAATCGGAGGCGAGGCGGGGACGATGCGTGGTTGGCTTACCTGCTGGATGGACTCCCTGGGCGGGAGTCTCTCCTGCGCTGGCGCTGCTTCCCTTTCCGTTCCACGCTATGCCCTTGCCCCATGCCCCATGCCCCATGCCAGCGATGGGTAAGCTCCTGCGCCACTGCCTCGTTAGAAGAAGCAACGACGACGGCGACGACGATGAGGAGGGCAACAGTTTGAAACTTTCTCATTTCGGTTTTGTTGGCCTGGCAGAATTGCCAGCCTGTCGGCCCGGCCCGGCCTGGTCTGGCCTTGCCTTGCCTCCGCCTGTTTGCCAGTTTCAACGTCTGCTTGTTTTCTGTGCGCCTAGTCGAAAATCCAACTAATTGCTTATTTTAACCCCTTCAAAACTGGGTACACACATCCATCCACACACACACACACACACAATGGAAGGTACGGGGTCTCTCTCTGGGCTTTCGTGTTTATTAATTAACAACACAAAACCCCAAACCAACAAAAGGCCCAATACACACACACACACACTTAGAGAGAGAGAGAGAGAGGGAAAGAGAGGGAACGGAGTCCGTGCCTTAATCCAAGTGCTGTCTCTCTGACTGGGCTGGCTGGCATTCATTAGTGTTCATTAGTGAAACAAAATGCTCATTTACTTAACTACCGGGAGGGGAGAGTCGTCCGCCCTGCTCCGTTCCATCGTTCGCCTTCCCGGACTCACGGGAACCATACACACAAACATACATACATATAACGAGAATACATATAAACCCCCCCCCCCTACCCTGGGTCGTCTCTGCTATGCGCCTCCCCCACCCTACCTAACCCACAGACTCGAATCTCCACGGCGTTGCACTTATCGGCACTCGGCAAGTCACTCGGCTCCCGGCCATCTCTCTCTCGTGTTGCCAATTAAAATTCCACTTATGCCAAGTTAACTCACTTGGCTCCCCGTTAATTGTCGTGGTTTTTTAATTGGACCCTTTTTGTTGCTGCTGTGGGGCTGCCATTGCCTGCCTGCTGTCTGCATCGAATAAAGCAACTACAACAACGTTTATAATGACTGGCAAAAAGCAGAACTTGTGGGTGCCGTAGTACTCCTACTACAGCCCATTCAAAAGAAAGAGATAGAGATAGACAGAGAGAGAAAGAGAGGGAGAACCTATAGTATTGTATCCCCCTCCAACTGAGAGCCTGCCTGGGTGCACTTTGCTGGCAAAACTTTTGTTTCGCTTCTTTCTCAATGTCCCGTTGGTTTCGTTTATCGCTTAGGGTTGTCGAGTCTCTGTTTGAAAGGCTAATACACGTAACCGTGAAGAAGATATGGAGAATCGTTGGCTTGGATTTCAGACTATGGTAGATTCACGTTGAACTTTTAACTTTCATCAAGCCTACTCCACATAATGTTTCCCCATTTTTACACACTTGGCAACCCTGTTAAGCATCCATGACTCGATTCAACTGATGAATGAATGAAACCCCCTCCCCTTTGGACACAGCCAGACCAGAAGCACCAGCAGCAGTAGCGGCTACAACAAGAACAAAAATGAAGTTAAAACAAAAGCCAACAAAACCCCTAATTAAAATGCATTTTCATTTGGGACGCCAGTGCTGGCTGCCACCCGACTCACCACTTCCCCTGCTCCTGCCTCCACAGCCGCTCCTTCTCTCTTTTCCTTCTCTCCACTGGAATACCCATTCGAGTGGGGCGTCCGCTGAAGGGGACTTTCGTATAGTATTGTCTGCGTTCATTAGCTAAGTCAAGTGGCCCCTGCAGAGACGCCGCTGTGCGTCACATGAACCGTTATACCATTGTACATGCCCACACACATACGCACCCTCCCTCCCTTTCGCTCTTTCGAATAACACACTAATGTGTGTGTGTGTGTATGTTTGTATGGCTGCGGGCATATTTAATTACAAAAGCTGCTAATTAGGAAACGTACACACCCACGTTGGTTAATTTGTTTGCAAACCAATTAACTCGGCGCATAGTATCAGGCGCACAGAAAACCGCAGATAGTCGACAGGCAACTACGACGACGACAGCAGCAGCAGCAGCAGCAACAGCAGCGTCGACAGCAGCAGCGGCGGGAGCAACGCCAGCAGCAGCAGCAGCAACAGCAAATGGAATATTGGTCGGACCGTCGCTTGGACAGGGCCAGTCCTCCCTCAGTGATGGAGGGGGGTCGGTCGGAAGCCATGAAAATGGTCCCGTTGCAGGCGAGCAAAAGAAAGACCAAATGAAAGAAAGAAGTTTCCAATCAGAGTGTGTGTGGTGAGGGTGCGGGTGTGCGTGGGGGGTGCAGAGTAGAACTAACTAACAACTGTTAACGCAGAGAAACCACAAAAGATAAGGCGTAGTGCCGGGGAGTTGTGCTATCTTAGAGGGGTGAGGGCCTGTTCTGGGGGTGAGGTTCAAGAAAAATGTCTAATAAATGAAAGCGAAATTTTAATGAAAAAGTTCCTATGTGTGTGGTGTGTGTTTGCGTGTGTGCGGATGGGGTTCGGTTCTTAATAAATGAGCTTAAGTTTGAGCAAAAGTTTTTGCTTCTGATTCTGATTCTCTCCTCAGCATTGCGGATGGGACGGGATGGGACGGGACGGGACGGAAAGTTGTGCGTGCTAATGAGTAATAAACTTGGGTGAAGGGGGAGTGTGCGTCCCACACACTGCACCCACACACACAACTAATCCAGTGCCCAACCCATGGATCCGCGAACAGCAGCAGCAGCAGACGTTTTTGTCAGGCGAACAGAAACCGTAGAGACCGCACTCTCACTCACTCTCTTTGACCCAATGAACGCGTGGCGGGAGAGAGAGAATGTGGAAAACGGCCAAAACATTGAGCGGAAGGCAGAAGTGCCGAAGGGGAGGTTAGATGGTGCCTTCAGTTCCGGCTTTGCTTTTGCGTTAATTAGTTTTGAGCGTTTCCATTATGCAGGGTCATGTGGCGTCAAGCCATACAGAGAGCGTCAGGCAGAGATAGAGAGAGAAAGTGAGAGAGATGCTAAAATAGAATATTTGATATTCTGTGTATTTCTCTATATCTTCCTCACCCACCCATGGCTTTGTTGCCAATTCACTTTGTTTTAATTTAAATTGCAGATTTAATGAAGATTGGGATTGAAAGTTAGGGTATATTGGGGATATTTAAGTTGGTGTACACCTTGAAACAGGTGAATATCAGATAATTTTAAAGTCGTTCCTCAACTTAGGGCATTTAGACGGTCGCAACAACTCTCTTGGAGTTCGTCCCCCATTAAATTGTGCTGATAGGAGAAAAGCAAACTGCGATTGCAACGCATTACACACACACACTCTCTCTCTCTCTCTCTCTTGGCGTGTACGTATGTAATTCTACACTAGCAAAGCCAATTATTACAAGGTAAGGCAATTACACTGATTTGAGTTGCCTATTTGGTTGTCCACCATTTCACTTGCTCCACCCAACATGAGAAATATATAAGTGATAAGTATTGGCAGATCGCTCACTGGAAATGCCTCACCTCGCTTTCAATCACCTTGTGTCGTAGCGACCTCTGCCCGTTTTCTGGCTGCCCGAAAAGCTTTTAGCTACAACACATATGAATGCTTATCACAAAAGAGTTTACGGATGGCACCAACAACCACACATAAAGAAAAACCCAACAAAAGGCAACGTGCATAGCTCTTTCCGCTCCCCGACCGCCGTCGCGTAGGTTCCCCTCTTGGGGCACACGTGTGCTGGTGCCGGCTCGTATTTTTCGGGTTATCGCGGGTTAGAGAACTCTTTTTTTGTCGTGTCTGCCACCTGTTGTCGACTGCTGTGCCCCTGTTGCGCTGACAAATAATCGATCGTAAGTAATTTATTGATTTCTGATTGATGGGGCCATCACATCATCCAACTGTCAAGCCAATCAATAAGTTCCGGGGCGATGCGACTTGGGGTTTTCTTGGGATCTTCGGCCCTGTCCGGTAGGATTAGCCAGCTTTGGGCACGCGGCCAACAGCAAACAGCAATAGGCAGAGATCGTCGTCGATGTGGAAATTTGAATAAAATTAACATTACAGCAACAGCACAAGCAGTGGCAGTGGCTGCGACAA